GCCCAAATTCGGGCTTGGCGAAAGCATTGGGATACCCCGGGTGCACTGGCCCATTGCGAATAGCAGCGACAGCTTCACGTCGAAGATCGTCCATGTCCACAAAACTGGCACCACAGTCCCGTAGCCTCCTTAACGTCGCTTCCAAAGCCGCGTCTTCCGGTTGACGCGAAACTTCCACTTGTTTGCTCCGCTTCTTCTTATTTTTAGCTTTCTTTTTCTTCGAGTCATCACCCGGAGGAACCATTTGATCCTTCACAGGAGCGATACCGGACTTGTGCAGAAAATCAGCCACACGTGCCTGATGATATATCGGCCAAACGTTATCAAGAGAATGACGTCTCCCGAAATGAAGCAGTATGGAGAAATAAACCATTCCTAGCTCTTCGAGGAAATAATGCGACACAAAAATCCTTTTTTTTTTTTTGTGGTGAACATTCCAAAAAACGTTTGAGTGGAATATCATTTGAAAATTGGCTTATAAAAATAATTTTTCGTAAAAAAAATAATCTGGGACGATTGCCGATTTTTTGCTACACTTGCATTAAATTTAGAAGAAGCTAAAAGGCTGTTCGTGAAATGAAAAGAAATCAGCTTGTTACCTAGCGTCAAGTAAAACTGAAACGATTTCTCCTGCGGAATAATGTATCATTGAGAACTGTGCGTGGCCAACTAATTATAGAAGTGCATTATTTTTGTGTCCAAGCGAAGAAAAGGAATAGTAAATATATTGATCATTCCGAACTAATGATCTTCTTTAGAAGCGCTCGAGATGGAGGCATTTGAATTACTAACGCATAAAAAACGCACCATAATGTTATCGTAGAATTGCTCATTCGATGGATTATCAACGACAGCAACTTGTTTCCCTTGCTCTTCTGTCCCACATCCAACAGATCTGTGTTCCCCCAACAACACAGTTTTTGACTCCGGACCTTCAACGATGCTCGTTTGCGTCGCAATGGATTTCTTTCCGTTTGCCACAGTCCAGCAATTGGTGGAAGGACCTCCAGAAGCACAACCACACGACGAAGCCCCAGGCCCATGCCTTACAGCCAGCAGTTGAAGCGCTTGTTGGAAATGTTCCTGCTGTGTCTGCTGTAGTTTAAGAGATTGCTGCAACTGCTTTTGAAGAGCATTCAGCCGCTTGTTTTGGTCGGCAACCAGCTGACGCAATAATCCGGT